CTTGAGGGGCTAACAGTCTAACGGAGGAGATGGGAGGTGCTCCTTCCACGGCAGGGAGAGTGCTGCCAGCTCCCCTCTGATGGGAGCGCAGCCCTGAGAGGTAAAGCAGAGAGGACACTAAAAGCTTAATGAACGTCCTAAGGGAATCTGCCTTAATGGTTATTTTGGAATGAACATAGTTACCGCATCATCTGCTGACGTTCAAGTACAAGGACAAAGTCCTGAGGATGCCCCAGAACAGTTTATTCCCCTCAAGAGATGCAAGATTCCCCTGACGATCCTCATTTATACTTGTGGCTGGATGGGTGAACCATTTTTGAATAAGCAATACAAAGGTAAATTTCAGTACCAAAAGGATAGAATTAAGCATGATTTGAAAAGCAAACTGGTAATGCCAAGTTGCTGGCATTTTCAGTTGTTTTGGATTTGGCTATAAAGGCTAGGATGGAAATGTTAAAAACCAACATAGATTTTTTTTGAGAAGAAAAAAGAGTTAACATTTACTGAGTATGTACATTTTGTCCAGCACTATGCTTCATATGCATTTATCTCATTTAATCTCCACAACAGCCCTCTAACTGTAGATTCTACTATTGTTATTGTCTCCATTTACAGACAAGGCAACTGAGTCTTAAATAGATTAAGTAACTTGTCCCCCAGCCATCATTGGAGGAAGCAGGCATCACCTGACAGGTAACCACAGGGGCCACACCCTTAACCATCACACCAACTGTCTCCCCTTACTGGCCAGTCCCCAGTTCCTGCCTGGAACATCATTTTTTCAGCAGTTTGGCCCAGAATAGATTTCAGGGTAAGTTCCTTCATTGTGATAAGCAGGGCCCAGGATCCCTGACAGCTGTTCCCCGCTCTTCATCATCATCTGAAACAATCAGTAAGCATTAGAGAGTACTTTTCCCTTTACAAAGGTGATAATTAGATAACAAGCTGAGATTAAAGTAATTACAGTTAGACAGCTGGCGAGGCAGCACAGTCATGTTGAAATATTGTTGATACTTCAGCATCTGGTTCTAATAACAGCATAGGCTAAAGGATTTTACATTAATTACAGAACATAATTTAATATAAACATATTTAATTACAATTGATGAACGATAAACTGTTCAAGAATGACTTAACCCCTTCCGCGTGTCAAAGTGATGGGAACTTTGGGCAGACTGTGGCCTCTTCTGCTGTCTTTCTCTCTGTCTCCACCCCAAGCCCTCCGTTACCCCCCTGGTCTCCTCTCCTAGAGAAAAGCCCCCTCAAAGAAGGAATGTTCTAGACAGGCTCATTGCTCACTGACTATCCCACGAGTGTCTGGCAATTGAGCAGGGCCGCCCTTCCTCAGAAGGTCAGGTGGAAGGAGGCGAGAGTGCATTGCTTCCACCTGACCAGCTGCCTTCCTCGCACAGGCGAAACGAGGCTGCCTTTTCCTGGCTGGTCTTCCCAGGGTCCTCACACCTTCATGTGGTGCTGACTCGGCTTCTGACAGTCAAGTGAGCAACATATTAAACAATCCTCAGATCTCTTGGAAAAAGTGTAAAGGTAGACCCATTTTTTTGTCGGGATCAGGAAGTCCCTGGCCGCAATGGCCCGGGTATTTTCACAGTTTTGGAGTCGATGTGTAATACCTGGAGACTTCTACATGAAACCGGACACTGTTCTGGCAGGAATTCTTCCTCACGTGGTGCCAGCCCCCATCCCTACCCCCAAAACTGGCAGAAGCAGACCTGGGATGAAACAGCACAGCAAACTGAGACCACACGGACACAGTCTCCATGGGATAAAGGACTCAACCATCATATTTGCACACTGTCTTCCCAGAAGCCTCATTTATGATTGGAAGACATTCAAAAGTCACAAAAGCCATGCTGTGGACTGCATGTCTGTATTCCCTCAAAATTCATGGATTGAAACCCTACCCTTCAGTGGAATAGAATTGGTAGATAGACAGGTTTAGATGAGGTCATGAGGGTGGAGCCCACGTGATGGGATTAATGTCTTTACAAGAAGAGAAAGGGTCAATCTCTTGGCCATGTGAGGACACAGCAAGAAGGCGGCTATCTGCAAACCAAGAAGAGGGCCCTCCCCAGAACTCAACCATGCTGGTACCCTGATCTGGGCTTCCCAGCTTCCAGAACAGTGAGAAATAAATTTCTGTTCTTTAAGCCACCAGTTTATGGTTCCATTATAGCAGCCCAAGCTAAGGCACACCACTAGGTCTCGCCTGCAATAAAATTTAGTCGACCCAAAAAAATCGCAAGACAGATTCTTCCCTAAAAAGAATAAGCCTTGGAGCGAGTTGGGAAAATTCACTGTCAAGTTTCCTTACATGACAAATGATGTGAAATTACAAACAGCCTCAAATACTGTTTTTATCACCTGCTGTGGATTTCAAAGTATAAAGCATACATTCTCCTAAAAGCTAAAATGAGTGCTGAAAAAGACAGTTCATTATTCAAAAGTAAGCAAGTGTGAACTACTTCTAGAGGAATCACTGACAGATGCACACAAAGTAACATTAGTGTGACAATTCAGGACCATATACCATCTAAGAGAGAACCAGGCTCTCTTAGAGTGAAAGTTGTTTAATCTTTTTGAAGAAAAAAGAAGTTTAATTTCTCTAACACAGCAAATCTGCCATGGGGGTGAGAACTATAAGGCACTTCTTGTAGATTAAGTGCTCCTGCAAAAGTGAGAAAAGGATAGGAAAGGAAAGTAACCAATAAAGTATTTGCTCTTCAAAAAGTTACCACTGTCATCAAAATTAAAAATCTGTGTGTGTCAAAGAACACTAACAAGAAAGTGAAAAAACCTAGAGAAGGGGAGAAAGTATTTGCTGTCTTCACGCTTTTCCCTTTGTCCTACTTGGTTACGTGGTGATCATTCTTGCAGTTTTGGTTGTATGAGACCTTCTGCCAGCTTTCAGCAGGTATTCTGTGAGAACTGCTCCATATGTAGATGTATTTTTGATGTATTTGTGGGAGGAGGTGAGCTCCACATCCCTCTACTCTGCCATCCTGATCTCCAGGAGAAAGTATTTGTAAATCATATTATATGATAATGGTCTAGTATCCAGAATATATAAAGAACTCTTATAACCCAACAATAAATATACAAATAATCCAACTGAAAAATGGGGAAAGGATCTGAATAGATATGTTTCCAAAGAAGATATACCAAAGACCAACAAGCACATGAAAAGATGCTCAACATCATTAATCATCAGGGAAATGCAGATCAAAATCAAAATGCAATACCACACACCAGGATGACCATATGCAAAAAGATAGATAATAACAAGTGTTGGCAAGGATGTGGAGAAATTGAAACCCTGATACATTGCTGGTAGGAATATAAATGGCACAGTCATTGTGGAATACAATTTGATGGTTACTCAAAAAGTTAAATATAGAGTTACCATGTGACTCAAGCAATTCGATTCTAGGTACATACCCAAAAGAACTGGGAACATGTCCATACAAAAACCTGTACACACATATTCACAGCAGCACTATTCATAATAGCCAAAAAGTGGAAACAACCCAAATGTCCATCAAATGATGAATGAATAAACAAAATATGGTATATCCATGCAGTAGAATATTATTCGGATGTAAAAAGAAACAAAATAGTGATACAAACTGCAACATGGATCAGGGTTGAACACATCATGCTAACTGAACGAAGCCAGACACAAAAGATCACATATAGTATGATTCCACTTACATGAAATGTCCAGAACTGGCAGATCTATGGAGGCAGAAAGGTTGCCAGAGGATGAGAAAAGAGGGGAACTGAGAGTAACTACTAATAGGTATAGGGTTTCTTTTTTGGGGTGATGGAAATGTTCTGGAATCAGATGGGGGTGATGGCTGCACACATTGTAAATATACTAAACACCACCAAGTGTACATTTTAAATAGTTAAAATAGTACATATTATGTTCTGTAAATTTTATCTCAATTCTTCTTTAAGCTACCAGTCTGGGAACTAGACCCCAATCCCACTAGGGAAGCCTGGGAACCTGTGTACAGTCTGCAGCTCAGAGTTATCTCATCCAAGAGATAAGGAAGCTGGGGTATTCGTGTACTAACTCTCGTCAGTCCGTGACTGAAGGCTGCTTTTAGGGAACATTAATTCCCTGCACTTCTGGGAAAAGAGAAAGTCCTTAGGCAAAGAAATGTCAGAGCTGACAGCTGACAGTCAGGTCGGTGTGTCCTGAAAGGTACAGGCAAGGAGGTTTGGGCAGTGGACCGACAATCTGCTGTTCTTTCACCAAGCTGTTTTAGGATTAAATAAGAAAGTCTGTGTAAAAGGCTTTGCAGTGCTAGACACAGAGAAAGCACTCAATAAATGTGTTATTTTTACAAAAGACCATATGGTTAAATACTTTGATCCAAACGCATAGTCAATGTAAGGTGGAGCTAGGATTCACACAGCTGTCTCTGTGCAGCCTGATCTTTCATATAGAGAATTATATTAGCCAGACATTCACTGACCAATCTTGCAAGCACATCTCAGACAGCATCGTGTCATCATGGCATTCAGAGGCTGTAATAAGCATCCTTCCTCTCTCTGCTCCCCCTTCTGTGCCCTCAGTGGGGGAAGCAGCTGCTTTTCTCACAAAGGCCTTGAGGGCTGATGTTGCTGTCTGCTCAAGTTCCCGAGTCTGAATATTGTGTGGTTTATTGTGTAGTCGCTTAATTGAGATTCAAAGCTTGCACATTGCTGACAATTTTGAGTAAAGGCCCAAGACGTACAAACACCTGAGACTGCAGGAGCAGCAGGGCAACCCTGTGCCCACTCACGTATTGGTCCTGCTGGTCTCCTCCGGAATCATCTGATTCCAGTTGGGTCAACCTCTGCTGGAGGCAAAAACTAGCAGAAACACTAGAGCAAAACAGGAATTTCTTCCTAGAATGCCCTGCAAGAACTCCCACCCAAGGACGTGCCAGAGGGGTGACATGAGGATCGGGGGTTGCAGAGCCCATGCCTACCTGATCAGGTAGTGGCTGATAACCCTGTCGAAGTAGCTGTAGCATTGTAGCGTTGTTCACATGGCCGTACTGGTCATTGTCCTGCCACCTCGTCTGGGTGGGCAAGAAGTACCCACAGGCTGCATGGTGCCGATGAAATCAACTCGCTGGCTCTCTGACGATGTAGTCAAGGAACGGACTTTCCTAGGAAGCAGCCTGGAAGCTCAAGAGGTCACAGTTGGTGGTTGCTGCCTTGGAGAGTACCTTCAAGAAAAAAAGCAACAGAGGATAAGAATGGCCTTCACAAATCTTGATTTTAGTTTTACAAAAACAATTGCATTAAATTTTGGCCATTGGTTTCAAAAGGAAATTAGATTTGGGGGTTTTTGACTAAGAAATAAATCTTCCCTGATAACTGACGTCCTTGCCACACACCTATTTACTTTTAAAATGACTCCTTAATTACAAGGCACACACTGACAGAAACAAGTCTGAATTTGACCATTAGGATTTTAAGTATATTTTTATGGAGGTACTCTGTTCCATGAAGTATTTCAAGGAGGGTGCTGTTTCTGACAAAATCTGTAACACCACTAAGGGCATAAAGATAGAGCTTAGGCAACCAGTATAAATAAAATGTTTACCAGAAAATATTATCAATTGGGCCCATCAACTATAAAGTTTCTTTAAGTGTATTAATTTTCTTTTAGAACAAAAGTAATGTCCTATGGAAAATGTGCAGATTATACACAAAAGGGAAAAACCTAACAACCCACCAGTGCCAGCTGTTAACTCCTCTATGTGTTTTATTCCAGTCTTATATTTTATATATCTGTGTATACATTCTTAAATGGGAGCATTCTGCTCGTGTTGCTTTATAATCTCTCGTGCTTAACAATACTCTCTATTGTTAAATGATGTCTAAATATGCTTAAATTCTCTCTTATATCACTTGCGATGTTGAATTCTGTTATATTCCATTGTATTGAAGCACCACAATTTATCAAATATTCTACTGTTGCATATTGAGGATTTTGATTCCAATTTTGTTAACTAGGATTGAAATCTTTGTATTTATAAACCTTCACATACATCCACAATTATCTTCTTAGGATAAATACTCAGAGGCAGAATTGCAGGGTCAAAGGACAAGTGAGTTAAGGATTTTGATATAAATTAATGCCCTCCAGAAAGGTGGTACCAATTTATACTCTCCCCAGTGGTATACGAGCAGGCCAATTTCCTTGTCAATTTTAAAATGCTTTGTCAATTTGACTGTGTTCTCTCATTTCCATACAAATTTAATGAAATGTGCTAAGTGGAAAGACGACTGCTGCTACTAACAATGATGAAATAACCAGCACAGAATAACCCCTCTGTCTGAGAACCACCACCGAAGCCAGACGAAACGTAAAAGAAGAGCTGTCTGAAGGTGTGAGGAAATAATCAAGGCAGCAGGACTTTACAGGCTGCAGCCCCGGGGACAGGGTGACACACTTGCCACTGCTGTTTCTCACCAGGGCATCTGCCAGCCAATTCACTGTGAGCGGAATAAAGGCTGAAGAGATAACAGCAGCCCAGAGCTTGCAGTGGTCTTGCTGTGTTGGAAGAGTTGACAGAAATCGAAAAGCCAACATCCTGGAGAAGAGTGAGGTGCAGAGAAGTCAGCCGAACAGGGCAAACTCCCCTCCAGGCCTTTGCTGACTCTTCAGCCTCACATCTTCTGTGAAAACAGAGAAACCGGCAGAAGCAACTATACACAGCCGAAATTTCAGGAGGGCCCAAAAGTGAGCTTTCAGAGGTGCCAAGGAGGAAGGCAGAGACCCCAGACTTTCAGTTTCGGCCCAAGAAAGGCTACTCCCTTAGAATGAAGGCAAACCTTAAATTGACCAGCCTCAGTCAAGGTTATCCACCCATACATCATCTGTCAGCTAGCAGAAAATGAAATCATCTCTGAAGGGAAATGACACCATCCAGAGCCTCCACAACATTTTATCCACAAAGGCTGGCATTCAGTCAAAAATACCAGGCTTATCAGGAAAGAGGAACAAAAGGGTTCTAAAAAATAAAATAAAAATAGTCCCAAACACTCACATGGATTTAAAAATAACTACGATTAACATACATTACAGATAAATGGCTAACATCCGTCCCCAACACACAAAGAACTCTAAAACTGAAGGGGCAAAAGATGAAAAACACAACAGAAAAATAAGCAAAAGTCACAGACAATTCACAAATAAAGATTTTTAAATGACCTTTAAACATATGAAAAAATGGACAACTTCAGTCATAAGAGAAATTATAACTGCAAATTATAACTATGCTGAGATACCATTTCTCAATGATTAGATTTGGTAAAAGTTACAAAGCTTGACGGCACGTTCTCTTGACAGAGTCATGAGGAAAGAGGCTTTTTTACATTCTTTGCTGGTGGGGATGTCCTCCACACCTTTGCGGGAGGAGGACTTGACAGTATCTAACAAAAACCACAGGTGAGTTTACCTTTTGAATTACATCTAAGAATTTTCCTTGAAGATACACCTTCAAGAATGTAAAAAAATATACAGGGTACACTATTTGTAAATGAAAAACACTGGGAAAAATACATAGATTGAATGAACTATGGTATATTCACACAGTGGTATATCATGCAGCTGTAAATAAAAACTAAAGATGTGATATGGAGTGATTTCCAGGATATACTTGCTGCCAATCAATAAAAACAAAGTGCAAAAGAGCATATATAGTATGATACTTCTGTGTAAGAAAGAAGAGGAAGAAAGAGAATACAAATGTATTTATTGATATTTACAAAAAGAAAGTCAGGAAGGTTGCACCAGAAACTCGTAAGGGTGCATGAAGGTGCATCGGCTGGGGAAGGGGAAGTAACACTCCTCCAAATACAGATTTTTGTGTAATTTTGAGTTTTGAAAGCATGTTAATGCTTTGCATACTCACACAAAATGATGATGATGATGATGATGATGATGATGATGATGATGAAGTAAAATTAACAATGATAGAAGGGAAAGAAACCTAAAATGAAATATAAACAGGAACAAGCGAGCCTAACTATAATTCAAATGAATAACCTAATCACACTGAAGGGGAAAATAATTACTTTTGAATACAGAGGTTTTTATTACAAACCCTCAGTATAAAGACAAAAATCTTTTAACAAGTACCAAACACTGGTCAGTAGGTATAATTTTTTATAGTGCTAGGGCTAGCAATTTTGAAACGCTTTCTGTGAATCTAAGACTGGGCAAGTGAGTAAATATACTGAGGATAATGTGAGCCAGGGTTCTTACTTGGGAAAAGGACTTACAAATACAGAACAGAGAAAGACTAAAATGAGCCTTCTGGTGTTAGATTAGATCTGGGAACATGAATATGAACTCCTTGATGAGAGACAGAGACAGATTTCTGAGCCTATCTGAGCCTAGACACAGTGGCACTGCAGGCGAAAATGAGCACACTGAGCGTCCAGATCTTAGCTTCTAAATACCCATCTCCACAAGAAGGAACCAGGGCTCCTTGAAGAAATGACTGATTCCATTGCTGGTGTGGATAAAGTAAAAGGTGATCTCTGAGTATCTTGTTTTGCCAGAGAGTAAAGAAATGTTCAAAGAATGATGGGCATGTCAAAAGTTCATAGGAGCCTGCTTAAGTGGGTTCCCTATGGCCAAATCTGGAACAGTTGAGCATCAAATTAAAAAAATGAGACCAATGGATAATAACCTTTTGAATTAAATAAGAATCCTTAAGTCTACTAAATTAATAACTGGAGGTGAAGGAAAGTTATCCCTTACATAAGTTTGCCAAGTAATAAATGTAAAAAGGATAACAGAATGAGAAAATCATCATTTTGCAAATATCATAGTAATAACTGATTCAGCCAAGAATCACTGATGGACATTAAAACATACTGGATACAAATTTGGTGAGGAGCAGATTAGTTGCATTGTCCCAAAGTATTTCCCCACAAATTATTTATTCATTACAAATTAATAATAGTAATTTTATGGCAGCTCATACTGGTAATATATTTCCTTATCCAAGATATCACAGTTAATATCACTAATAATGAAATTAACATCATATGCCTCCTGAGATGATGGACTGAGAAGGATGCAACATTGCTTTTGTGTTATTTCTGTCAACAATGCAATACCTGAATCTAATCATGACAAAACACCAGAGAATCAAAATTAAAGAACAGTCTACAAAGTAACTGTTCTGTGCTCTCTAAAAATATCCAGGTTGTGAAAGACAAAGGGAGAAGAGTTGTTTCAATTAAAGGAGAGTAAACAGCCATGACAACTAAATGCAACGCATGATCCGAGATTATATACTATACCAGGAAAAAGATGTTGCTATAAGGGACATTATTGGAATAACTAATAAATTTTTTAGACTATAGATCATAGTATTGTATCAACATTAAACTTCTTAAATTTGAATTTGTACTTTAATTATATAAGAGAAATTCCTTGTGTTTACTAGATACAAATTGAAGAATTTAGGAATAAAGAAACATGGTATCTGCAACATCTTGCCAAATGGTTCAGAAAGAAATAGTGTGTCGGGTGGGGGGAGGGTTGGATAATACATGTGCATGGAGGGGAAGATGATAAAGGAAGTGAGAAAAAAATGTAAAAAATTGGTGAATCCAGGTAGAAGACATGCAGTAATGCTTTGTACTATTCCTACAAGATTTCTGTAAATTTGAAATTATAAAAAAAATGAAGTTACCTCCAAAAAGCTATCATTAACATATTCAAAAAACAGATTTTAAAATGGATAATGTTACCAGAGCATTGGAATCTATGAAATACAATTATTATACTATGAATTCAATAGATAGGTTAAACAAGGCTAGTCACAGAAGGGGGAACTAATTAACTGGAAGATAAATCAGTGTAAATATTCAGATTGAAGCACAAACATATAAAAGATTTAAAATACAAAATAACATAAGCAACAGATAGGACACCACTTTTTAAAAAAGTAACAATTATTATAATTAAAGTTCTAGATAGACAGGAGAAAGATAATGGATAAGAAGCAGTATTTGAAGAGACACTGGCAGAAATTTTCCCCAAACTAAAAGACATGAAGCCCCAGATTCAAGAATCACTATGAATCCAAGCTGGATAAATTAAAGAAAACCAAACATAAGAAAACAGCTGATAAAGACTATGAAAATCTTAAGCAAAAAGAAAAGACACTTTACCTTCAAAGCAACAACAATAAGCTGA